TGCAAAAACTGTGAAGAATATTGTAGGGAGAGGAGGCTAGGGGAACTTGGCCTTCCTGAGATCCAGCCATAATACAAAGCTATAGTGATTAAGAGAATGTGCTATCGGTACATAAACAAATAGACCAGTGGAACAGAACAAGAAACCTAGAGACAGACCCAGGCATATATGGAATCTTGATATATGACCACTGTGGTGTTCTAAATCAGTGGAGAAATGATAAAAGAGTCAATACGTGGTTGTGAGATAATCATTTATTAATATACACATTGATTCCAGGTAGATTAAAAACCTAAATGGAAAATGCAAGTTTTATACTTTTACAAGAAAGTATATGGCGATATTTTCATAACCTAATGTAGGAAAGGCTTTATTAAACAAGGCATCAAATACACAAATCTGAAGGAAAAAGTTGATAAATTTGACTATACTAAAAATTTAGGGGACTCTCCTGGTGCTCCAGCAGGTAAGAATCTGCGCTCCCAATGCAGGGGGCCTCAGTTCGATCCCTGGTCAGGGAACTAGATCCCGCATGCATGCTGCAACTAAGAAGTCCGCATGCTACAACTAGGAGTCCTCGTGCCGCAACTAAGAGCTTGCGTGCTGCAACTAAAACCGAGAGCAGCCTAAATAAATTAAAAATAAAATTAAAAAGATGAAAAAGAAGCTACATGGGCTTAAGAATCTTTAAAAAAATATTTAAAACTTCCTTTCAACCAGGTACTATAACAAAAATAAAAGGTGATCTACAGATGGGGATAATGTATTTGCATATCGTTTGCTCAATCATTCAACAAATATTGAATATCCATGATGTGCCAGGTGCTATATGACACCAAGTTTCTATGGTGATGGGAATGATGCAGAAGAAAACAAACAAAAAATATATGTAGGAGAGAACAGGGATGATTACTGGCACACAGGGCAGGGCAAATACTCCAGATATTTGCATGGCCCACTTGTTCCTCCTTCAGCTCTGTGGCCACATGTCTGCTTCCCAGCAAGGCCTTTTCTGACCATCCTCTCTCAATTGCAACTCTTACTGCAGGAAACCTCACCCTTCATCTCTTTTTCTTTCCTTCACTTTATTTTTCTTTATAGCAATGATCATTTTCTAATGCCAAATACTTTACTTATTTATTTTGTTCTTCATCTGTCTCCTCTCACTAGGAAATAAACTTCATAAGATTAGGGATCACCAAGGCTTAGAATAGCACCTATGACATGGTAGGTACTCAATAAATATTTGTTGAATAAATAAGGAAATAATTGTGTCCTTAATGGCACAAATCAAATTGCCAGGCATAAAGTGTTCACAGAAGTATTTGTTGAAGATTATATAATCTGTAAAGGAAAAATACTTTATATTTTATTACAGATTATTAAAAATTAAGGTATTTTGCTTAATGCTTTTCCCTAATAACATTGAAGTATGTCTATATACCTACATATATGTATTTACTGGATTTGAAGATTGTTTCCCTTCACACTTTAAAATTTTTTAACAGCTTTATTGAGATATAATTCACCTATTTACAGTTCATCCAATTCAATAGTTTTTACCACGTTCACAGATATGTGCAACCATCATCCGTCAATTTTAGAACGTCTTCATCACCTCAAAAAGAAATGCAATACCCTTTAGCTATCACCCTTCTATCCCCTGTGCCCCATTGCTCTCAGCCCTAAGTAATGAAACTTTCTGTCTCTATGGATTTGTCTAGTCTAAACATTACAAATAAATGGAATCATATATGTGGTCTTTTGTGAGTGACATCTCTCAATTAGTATAATGTATCCATATTGTACCATGGATAGTATTTCTTTTCTTTTTGTTGCCAAATAATATTCCATTGCATGGACATATCATGTTTTGTTTATCCAATCATGTGCTGGTGGCATTTGGGTGGTTTCCACCTTTTGTTTATTGTGAATGGTGCTGCTATGAACATCTGTGTACAAGGTATACATCTAGAAGTAGAATTATTGGGTCATATGGCAATTCCACGTTTAACTTTTTGAGACTGCCAAACCATCCTCTACAGTGACTGCACCATTTTACATTCCTGCCAGCAACATACGAGCATTCCAATTTCTCCGTATCCCCACTAACACTTGTTATTTTCTGTTACTTTTGATTATGGCCATCCTAGTGGGATGTGAAGTGGTATCTCATTGTGGTTTTGCCCATCCCTTGTTACTTCCTCAAATACCAGCTTCCTTCTCCAGTAAAGATCTGGAACATCAATTTTCTCCTACTACGCCCTGGCATTGCTTAAACAATAAATCTGTGAAATGGTATGTGTACACTTCACAATACCTCTTCCGACCCTACAGGTATCTTTTAAATATTATGGTTATCATTTTAGAAATGGTCACTCAAGGGTCCGGCAATTTCTGATGATTCCCTGTGCCCGCCCAGCTCCCTGACACCCCGTCCCCAGTTTATGTAATAAGTACATAATAAAGTAAATGCTGAAGCAGAAAATCTCTTGAGGGCCTATATTTCTTCTCTTACTTGATTATATGCTTTTTAAAATAACCAAAACCAATTTCGGTATGTGATTTTTTTTCTGTAAAGGTGACAAATGTGAGGATTTATAGACTGAATAAAAACAGGTGCTGTTGGAAGGCGTAGAGCTTTAGTCAGAGTCAAATGTGGGCAATCAGAATGCAACGTGAGGAGGAAAAAACACCATCCCAGAAGTGGAATCTTACTGAAAACCTTTACCTTCCTCTCCCCACCTTAAAAACAAAAAAAATATGTTCCACCAAATTCCGAAACTTACACGTATGCATTTGAAGCAATACAACAAGGAGACAGGGTGGAGATGCATTCTGCAGGTTGCCACACAGGTTGAAAGGCATTTCCTGACAAAGGAGTAGCTACCATTGGGCCACCTGGGTAACTGCATATGCAAATGAGTGCTGGGAAAGTATTCGTGGGCCTCACCTCCATTAAGTATTGATACTTTGCGGAGTCATTACAGGTTGTGAAACTTAGTGTTCTAGACCTAATACTTAGGGGAAAGCAGTAAAAAGCATTTCAAGAAGCACAGCCGTAGATGGACAGTTGAACAGGAGTGGTGGTTACTGAAGGAAAATAATGACGGATCCAGGGTTTGGAAGGTTGAGGTCTTGAGAGCTGCTATACCAGTAGAGTGAGGGAAAATACCCTTTTCCCAGACTACAGTTAAAGTAAGCATTAACTCTCAGAATGTTCATAACTTACTGGCTTCCTTGAATGTAAAAGGAGTCACATTACAATGATTACAATTATATGATAGTTGCCTTTTTTTTTTTTTCCTCCCCATGGTCACATCACCTCTAATCAAAGAGTAGAAGACCACTGGTGGATAAGGGGTGAGCAGGGTCAGACCTCTCACAAACTCAGAATTTTATGCCCAACATCAGCAAAATAAGAATTCAGCGCAGGTCCTCAGGAGCCTGATTTATCCACAAGGAATCTGGCTAATCAGTACATGTATTCAAAGAGCTGCAGAGATATAACGGGTGGTGCTTCGCAAGCTTCTGGCTCCAAGTGGGAAGAGACCCTAAAGATTACCTAGAGCAAACTACCTTCCTATGACACAGGCCTGTCAGGGGCTTGAAATCACTGCCATATTCTAGCCAAGTTGTTTCATTTACTGTGCCTTTGTTCCTAAATTTACAAGGAGGAAAGACTGCGTGTACAAGTGCCTACAATATGGAGTCTATTTAGGGAAAACGTAATAAGATATAGTATTTGTGTTTTCCCAACCAGCCCTAGGCCACCCAACTAACGAAGCCTCCGCCTGAGTTTTTATCTAGAGGATGCTGGCGCGCCACTTAGCTGCCCATCTTGAGCATGTTCTTTCTGGAAAGCGACGGTGGGAGAAGGGTATCATAGCTAGTATTTAACTGAGCCTTTACTATACCAAAGACTGCGCCTTAGTGGTAACTCATTTGGTGGTCCAATAATCCTACGAGGCGGGTCCTACTTTACCTCTATTTTACAGATGAAGAAATTGAGCTGGGGTGAATTACTTTCTCAAGGTCACACAACCACTCAGCGGCGGAGACCACCGTGAAGATAGGCAGTCTGGCTACGGGGAGGCGGGAGAGGAGCCCAGCGGAGGATGGAGGAGGAGGGAGGTAAGGTGGGACAGGGCGGAGCGGGGGGGCGGGGATGGGACACAGCGGAGAAAGTACCAGCAACGCCTTCCACTGACTGATTTGTACATTTCCATCACCTAAGCTTCTGGCGTCACCACCAGGAATAGAAAATTAAAGACTCCTAACTCTGTAAGGTTCCGCCTCCATCCCAAGAAGACCATCCCACAGAACACGCGACGCTCACCCCTTCCTCACCTGCCAGCCCCGGGCACCGCAGGGCCGACTCCAGCGGCAAACTACAACCCCCCACTATGCACCGCGCGGGAGGCGGGGGCCACGCCGAGGGGACGCGAGGGTGCTCCAAAGGTGCCTTGAGAAAAAAAAAAAAAAAAAAAAATCACATACATCTTTCGTCGCTTTCCCGCCTTCACACTGCTCTCACCCTCAGGGGGATGCATCGTCTTTTTTAATGGACGGCTCATGCAGAGAAGCGTGTAAAATCGTTTCTGTCTTCAGGCACAGCAGAGGGCAGGCGCGACAACGGCTCGAGGGCGCGAGGTCCCCCGGGCCACGCGCGGGGCGGAGCCAGCGGAGGCGGGACCGGGACGCGACCGGAAGTGCATGAGGGAAAAGGGAGAAGCTTGAGTGGCTGCGGGCGTGCGCTTCCGGCCGGGGCGTCGACGTCGGCTGGCTGCGCAGGTTAGCACTTCGGGCTCTTCGGCCGCTGCTGTACGCATCGTGCACGCCCCGAGGCGCCGAGTGTCGTCTCTTCTCGCCGTAGGCCGTGACGACATGAGCAGCAAAGAAGGTGGCGTCTTCAACGGCTTTGGGCGTTATTTATTTATCTCATCCAGCCTTTTGGTCGCGTTTTCCACTTCCCACCCCTTAAAGGTGCCCTCTCCCCGCGCAGGCTCCGGGAGGGGCGGCGGCCCTGGTGATTTCCCGGCCACATTGGCCCTGTTTGCGCCTCTCTGTTTTTAATCCTCGAGCCGTTTTTATCTTAGTTCGGTAATTGCCCCACCTTGTGCCAGATCAAGGTACTCGTTGGGGGAGGCCTGGGTGAGCGTAAGGTTTGGGGGGGAGAAGGCAGGGTTGCTTTTCTGTCGTCTGCTGAGGAAGCCTCTGTGGCGAGGGCCTTGGGGGTGCCTGGTTTTAAAGGAAGGGAGGGGTTTGCCTGTGTCATGTTTTGTCAGCTCTTTGGCGATGGAAGAGCCTTGTCCAATCTTTTTCTCCTTCTCTACGTAAGGATCAGGAGGGTTCAGGAAAAGGAAGCATGACAATTTCCCACATAACCAGAGAAGAGAAGGGAAGGATGTTAATTCCTCTTCACCTGTGATGTTGGCCTTCAAATGTAAGTTCTCTTGTCATGTAAGCTGGCGAAGGGAAGAGAACTAAAGAGTTTGTAAGAAGGATCGATTAGCCATGTTATGCACGTGGAAACAGCCTCTGAGAATTTCCCCGGGGGTTTTGCCATAGTGCTGGGTCTGCCCTCAGAGTTGAGATTACAGACGTCTTGACTCTTTTTCCCATTACAGTTTCGCCGGTAAACGTTAGTTAATTAACATCAGACGTGCCACGTAACTAAAAATTACTGTGGACCTGATAACTATATATACTCACCCCCCCAGGTGTGTGTGTGTGTGTGTGTGTGTGTATATATCAGGTATATATGTGTGTTTTCATTAGGTGTCTGTCTAAAGTGTATATATATGTGTATATGTATCAGCTATGTGTGTGTGTGTGTATGTATATATATCAGCTGTATATATACGTACATTTAATTTTTCAATTTTTAACGTGTATTGGTTTTGTTTTCCCAGATAGACTTTTGAAGACAGGGCCTGTAGTTTTGTTTTGACACTGCAGCACTTTGCAGAGAGTGGGAATCCATGTACCTGTAAATCGTACATGTACATGTGTTCACAGCTCCCCTTTTCTCAGTATATTAACTTGGGCAAGCTGTTGCAAAACTCAACATAAAACAAAATTCACCTAACTCTTCTGCCCAGCATCCTGTTTGTTTTTTGGCTATGCCGCATGGCATGCAGGATCTTATTTCCCTGACCAGGGATCGAACCCATGCCCCCCTGCCGTGGAAGTGCGGAGTCCTAACCACTGGACCACCAGGGAATTACTCCAGCACCTTGTTCTTTATAGTTTCTGTAGTTCAGGAATCCGAGAGGGGGCTTAGTTAGCTGTTGGTTCTAACGTGCAGCCATCTGAAGGCTTGAATCGGGTTGAGGATCCACAGCTATCGGCAAGGTAGGCCTTCTGCCAACAGCCAGCTCTGGGTTCCTCTCCACGTGGACCCCTCCATCGTACTGCTTGAGTGTCCTCGTGTTGTGGCATCTGGCTTCCCCCGGACCGAGGAAGAGAAAGAGACCACAATTCTCTTATGTCCTAATCTTGGACATCATACACTGTCACTTATGCTACAGTTCTTTTGTTACAAATGAGGTAGTTTTAAAACTCTGCCTCATATTTAAGAGGAAGGGAATTAGGTTCCTCTTTTTGAAGGGAGGGGTATCAGGTGATTTGTGGACATATTTTAGAACTGCCACAGCACATACAGTGATCTTCAGGGGTGTAAGACAACTAGTTGTAATTGAGTAGAGAGCATATTGATAGAGCTATATACTCAGTGGAAAAACTATCAATACACTGGGGCAAGTATTGGGTTGGCCAGAAAGTTCGTTTGGTTTTAAGTAACTATAAAAGGCTTTTTTCATTTTCATCAAGAACTTTATTGAGCAACGTATTCATTAACCGAACGAACGTTTTGGCCAAGCCAATATTCCCCACCGGTATGTTCTCACACACCCCATACTGAGCTGCTTGTTTCCAAGCATATTTTGCTGTTTTATGTTTCTACCTGCCTTTGTGCACATAGTTCTTTAAGCTTGGAATTGCTTCCAACTTGGTGCCCCGTTGCCCACCTGGTGTACTGTAGTTTTTCTTCAAGACCCAGGTCAAGTAGCATCTTCCCTTTGAAGCCTTTCGGATTTTCCTCCCAAGCAAACTTGGTGACAAACGTTGCATTCATTGAACATCCATCCATTCAGTCAGGAGATATTTATTGAGCATCTATGTTCTGGCATGTGTTGATAGTGAACAAGAAAAATGTAGTTCCTGCTTTACTGAACCTTTTCTATATATTTATTATGGCATGATTACATTTAATTCTTTGTTTACATCTCTGTCTCATACTGGACTGAGCTCATTGAGGGTAGAAATTGCCTTAACTTTGTATTTATAGTATATAATTCACAGTGGTCATTAATGTAGTCAAAATAAATAGTGATACATTTCATTGTCTTGAAATATTGGGCAAAATCCTAGCCTAATTATTATCTCAGTAATAAAAGACCAGATGTATTTAGGTCTTTGTCAACTACTAATTTGGTTCATAGTTAAGTCAGGTTCTGAATAAACCTTTGTATTCAGAATTCCTCTGTGGATTGCTCCCTATAGGACAGGCAACTTGCTAGGTCTTTGGAGTGACAGTGCTTCTAAAATAAAGTGGTTATTAAGATAAGTAAGTGGTTTATGGGTATTTCAACAACTAGGGCTTGAGAATTCAGAAAGTTGATGTTATTAAGGGGTTATAAACTTAATTTTAGTTTTTTGTTTTTTGTTTTTTTTTGCGGTACACGGGCCTCTCACTGTTGCGGCCTCTCCCGTTGCGGAGCACAGGCTCCGGATGCGCAGGCTCAGCGGCCATGGCTCACGGGCCCAGCCGCTCTGCGGCATGTGGGATCTTCCTGGATCAGGGCGCGAACCCGTGTCCCCTGCATCGGCAGGCGGACACTCAACCGCTGCGCCACCAGGGAAGCCCTATAAACTTAATTTTAAAATTCCAGTTTATTTTTTGTAGATATTTTTATTGTATATGGTAAGGTAATTAAAAATAACTTTACATAACCTAGCGAGGTAGTTGAAAGTAGTTTTTGTAGGTAGTTATATGTTATAATTTTGTGGTAAAAGTCTCATGTTTATTAGAACAGATACTTGTTACAAAATATATGTGTCACTGTGAGCCTCTGAGTGGTAAAATCCAGCGAAGGCATACCTCTAGTTAAAGAAAAAATATCTCGGTTAGTAGCAGAGTCTTTGATTTCCAAGTACTTTAAAAATAAATAAGGTGGTTTCTCCAATATTGTTCGATAGGCTTCAAGTGCAGAATAAGCATGCTTATGTTCATAATAATGTGTTCTTAGCATTTCAACAGGAACTTGATGCAAGACATGACAAATACGAGAGACTTGTGAAACTTAGTCGGGATATAACTGTTGAAAGTAAAAGGACAATATTTCTCCTCCACAGGATTACAAGGTGAGTAAATATCTTCAAAATTTGTCACAGTTGGATACAGTTTTATACGTGTTTTATATATATCGTATTTAATATATATCGTAAGTCAGTGGACAGTAACTAGCTGACTTTTTTTGAACACCGGGGTCAGAGGACGTTAGTAGCAGGTAGATTTTAAGAATAAACATTTTAATAAAAATAGGGACCAATTCTTATTTTCAGAACAGCTAGGGATTTATGTTCTGTTAAGGTCGTTCACCAAGATAGAGCTACTGTTTGTGAAATATTAAATTTTTAATGGTTTACTAGCACCTGTTACATTAAAGCTTTCCTTGGATGATGTGTGCAGAAATTTTAATATTAGATAAATGTTTTATTCTGCTTAACTTACTTTCCCATTCATTTTTCAGTTCATTGCGGTGTGGCTTTCTGCCTCACAGAATTGAAATTGCCCTGTTACTTTCATATTGCTGAGTCTGGTACACACTCTTCTGCTTTTTTTCTGACTCACATTTTTGCGGCATGTGATAGTGTTGACTGCTTAATTCTTTGAAAGTTCCTCTACCTTCAGCTCTGTGACATTTGTTCTCTAGGACTTTAATATTTTTCTAGGTAGGCTCTGTATATTTAATAGATTTCTTTGTTGCAAGTAAAAGAAGCCAGCTTAAACTAGCCTAAATTAAGAGGAAGGGAGTGAATTAGAAAGAAGATTCAGGAATATTTTATGAATGCAGTTGGGTATCTCCATCTCGTATCTTGGTTCGCTTCATATTTCATTTGACTAGCTTTCTTTGCTTCTCTGTTCTACATGGGGGTAGAAGTCACCCACCCTGCAACTCCCAAAGAGAGATTCTTGTTACATTACCAATTCCAAATGCCTTTAGAAGGATAGCAATGATTGGCTTCCCACCATGTGTCTTTTAAGTATTTAAGAAAGACCAAATATAATTTATGAGCTTTTTATTATTAAAATATTATTGAAGTAGTCTATTCACTTATAACTTTTAAGGTAATTCTGAAATGCTTTAATTTTTATTCCACTAAGTGGAAGCAAATTTGCCATATATAGGTTTATTGGAATGTGGCACTGTTAACATTTTCTTTTTCATCCTTGACTCTAAAATTAGTTTTTGCTTGTTTTTTGAAGCAGTTTTCACATAGCTTGTACACACTTGAGCTTGTATTATGGAAAGAAGCAACACTGATCTGGTTAGTTATGAACACTTTTTTCCACTAGAAATTGCAGTTTTAAAACAATTGCTCTCAATATTCAGCAGTTTAAAGAAATAGTAGAATTGTGACAGGAGAACTTAATATTTTAGAAAAAGCCATGTTATTGTGTACAGTCATCTTGTAAATATTTGTCCACCAAAAAATAATAAATATGCATTATGGTAAACTTAGAAAATAGTAATCTTTAGAAAAATACAAAATGACAGAAAAGTAAAGATACCGAGTGAAAGAAGTCAGTGACAATACACTAGGATAGCCCCTATCAATGAGCAGATTTCATATTTTATACTTTTTTATCATAATTGTGTCCATATTATACATATATTTTGATTAGTAAACTGAGAAAATGGTAAACTTCAGAAAAATGATAAACTACAGAAAGTAAAAATACTTTATGAGAGAAATCAGCTAGAGTACATAAAGATAACTACTGTTAATGAGCAGATTTCATATTTTAACTGTACTTTATTTTCTTTAATAGATGAAGGTAGGTATCTCTGCTAGTGAGCTTTGGTAGTTTGGTCTTTTAAGGAATTTTTCCATTTCCTCTCATAATGTTCTTTTATTATCCTTTAATTTCTGTAGAATCTGTTGTAATGTTCTCTCTCTCATTCCTGAAGTTGGTAATTTGTATCCTCTCTTTTTCCTGATCTGTCTGGCTAGAGGTTTATCAATTTTATTGATCTTAAAGGACTGCTGTTGATTTCATTGATATTCTGTATGTTTTGGTTTTCTGACACATTGATTTCTGTTATTTCCTTCTTTCTGCTTACTTGGGATTCATTTACTCCTTTTCTAAAGAGTTTCTTAAGACGGAAGCTGAGATCACAAAGAAGAAACTGAGATCATTTCTTCTTTTCTAATATAGGCATTTAGTGCTATCAATTTCCCTTTTATGGCTCTAAGTACACTTTAGCTGCATTCCACGAATTCTGGTATGTTGTTTTTTCATTTTCATTCAGTTCAAAATGCTTTCTAATTTTCATTTTGATTTCATCTTTGACCCATTGGTTGTTCGGATGTTATTTTGTTTCCAAATATTTAGGAATTTTCCAAGCATATTTTTTATGATTTGAATTCTTTTAAATTTACTGAAGCTTGGTTTTGGCTCAGAATATGGTCTGTCTGGACCTTGTACACTTGAAAAGTATATGTATTCTGCTATTGTTGGGTGTAGTGTCCTATAAATGTCAATTAAATTGGTTGATGATGTTGTTCAATCATCTGTGTTATTACTGATTTTCTGTATACTTGTTCTACAATTATTGAGAGAGGTTCAGATCTCTTGATAATTGTGGATTTGTCTATTTCTTTTTGCCCTTTTATTAGTTTTTGCTTGATGTATTTAAGCTCTTTTATTTGATGCATTAATATTTAGGATTGTTCTGTTCACTTGATGAATTGACCCTTTATTTTTATGATAGTATCCCTGAAAATATTCTTTGTTTTGAATTCTACTTTGTTAATACAGCTACTCTAGTTTTCTTTTGATTAGTGTTAACAGGGTATATCTTTATTTGTCCTTTTGCTTTTAATCTATTTGTGTCTATATTTAAAGAGGATTTCTTGTCTTTCTTGCTTTTTTATCCATTTATCCATTTTATCCAGTCTCTGCCTTTTATGGAGGTGTTTAGACCGTTTACATTTAATGTGATTATTGATATGGTAGGAGTTAAATTTATGATCCATTTTCCACTTTTTTGCCTTATTTTGGGTTGAATATATATTTTTCAAATTGGGGTATCATTGCTTTACAATGTTGTGAAGACTATTTTTTATAATTCCATTTTATCTTATTTGTTGGCTTATTAGCTGTACCTTTTTGTTTTATTTTTATAGTGGTTGTTTTATGGTTTATAATATATGACTTGTCACAGTCTGCTGTCCTTACTTTGTACAATACTGTGTTAATTGAAACTTGTGCATCTCAGAATCATGTCTGTCCTTTGCATGGTTCTGTGGTAACATTTACTTTGCAAATTGAGGTCATAATATTGATACGCACACTTTTCAGTTAATGTGATACTGTACAAGGTAAGGACAGCTTGCATATCACTTTGCCTATAGTATATGAACCCTATAATAGTATACTTCCTTTTCCATTTCACTTCTACAGGCTTGGCCTTTGTGCTACTTTGAAATATATGCTACTTCTATATTATTTATAATCCCCATAATACATTATTATTTTTACTTAAACAATATGATTTTTTAAAAACTAAAAAATTATATTTTTATATATATTTCCCATTTCTGGTGTCCTTTATTCCTTTATGTACAGATCCAGATTTTCATCTGGTATCATTTTCCTTTTGCCTAGAGAACTTCCTTTAATACTTTTTGTAGTGTCAGTCTGCCAGTGATGAATCAACTATTTCTGGTCTTGTGTGAGCTCTGTATATCGTTTTGCATGCTCACTTAGGGTGGTTCATTTTTCAGCCTTGGGTAGTTTCCTCACAAGTCTGCACTTCAGAGTTCAGCTGAAGACTTGAGTGGGTCCCCTGTGTAGATCTCTAAAAACTCTGTGTGTAGTTTTCTCCTTTGTTACTTTGCCTTGCAAGTTTTAGCCATCTTTACCAACCTGAACTCCCACTTCCTCCCCCTCTGCTCAGGGAGACTCCCAGGGTCCACCTAAGTTTCTCATCCCTGCACTGTCACTGCACTGCAGGCAGTTAGATGGGACAGTCATAATAAGGCACATGTCCTTTTCTTCACCCTTCTCTCAGGGATCAGTGTCCCGTGCTGCCTGTTGCCCAACGTCTGAAAACCATTTTTTTTGTATATATGTATTTCTCTTTAGTTGTTTAGTTTTATGGTGGGATGATAAATCCTGTCCATGTTACTCCATCCTGACTAAAAGTAGACATCTCCAGATGTCATATTTTTATGAACATAATTTTTCTTGTAGTTATGGTCATATTATAAGTACAACTTTTTATACTTCTCTTTTCACTTAATATTATAGCATTTTTCCACGTTTTTAACTTGTTTTAGTAAACTATAGTTGTAGTTTTGAGTTAGAAGTTTCCAGATACATAGGATATTTATTTAGCCCTATGTTAATTGATATGGAGATTATTTCAGCTTCTCACTATCAAAACATCTGACTGATGTTTTAAAAGTTCCCAATATCTTGATTACAGTGCTCCTTATATGGAAGAAATACTTACTGAAGCAGAAATTAAATTGGATGGTGTCAGACAAAAGATATTGCAGGTAGCCCAGGAGCTCTCAGGAGAAGACATGCATCAGTTCCACAGAGCCATTACTACAGGTGAGTCTAGGTTCATTGTAGTGGTAACATTAAAAAAAAAAATAGTTCGTTACATGATTTATGTGCATTGCCTGAATTTTAATTGATGCTTGGTGAAATATTACTGGTTTTAAAAAATTAGAACTTCTGAATAGTAATGTAAAGGTAATCTAAAAATGCTTAATGGGCTTTATTTTTCTGTGTAGTGACAGTCATTGATAGATTTTAATAAAGTAATTGAGGACACAGACTTAATAGATGAACTTTATTCTTGAGTGAGTAGGGTGTATTCATACAGGGCATAACTCATTTCCCACTATGGGTATATCTCACTTGTGGCTCTAAGTTTCAGTCATAGTAAGTTCATGAAAGAGAATGTATCACTTAGCCAGGTGGACCAGAACATCTCATAGTGTGACTCCATACTGAGAAGTTTAGGGTAGTACTGGGTTTGTTTTTTTTTTTTGCGGTATGCAGGCCTGTCACTGTTGTGGCCTCTCCCGTTGCGGAGCACAGGCTCTGGACGCGCAGGCTCAGCGGCCATGGCTCACGGGCCCAGCCGCTCTGCAGCACGTGGGATCTTCCCGTATCAGGGCATGAACCTGTGTACCCTGCATCGGCAGGCGGACTCTCAACCACTGCGCCACCAGGGAAGCCCAGTACTGGGTTTTATATATTCATTTAAAATGTTTCATGGAGTACTGGATCTTGGTGATTATCACCATTTGGGAATTAGTTGGCACAAATGTTTAAGGTACTTGATTTGATCCTCTTCATCCTTTCCTTATTGTGAGTTCACTGTGAGGAGAGATAATGTATAATTCAGACATACCCTGAAATTTGCAGAAAGACAAAATCAAAGGTTGATGCATATTTATAGAAGTAAATGGAAGTTCTGTATTCCTTTCTATCAAATAGCTGATTCCACTGAGCTCAGCAAAGTTCAGTAGTAGGAAATGAGTTCATTTGGCACCTGGTCAATATATGTTCAGTTTTAGTCTGGTTATCATTTCAGCACCTGTTTTTCAGAAATGTCGACCTGTGGTTGTTGAAACGTGTTGATATTAGTAAGAGAAGGTGCCTGCATGTATTGGTTAAAACTGGAGGCGTGTTATTATAAACTAAAGTGATAACACATTTCCATGAGGAGTCATTATAGTATATTCTGAAAGGGGGTACATTCCCATCCTCATCATTTATTATTTACTATCAGGGATTTATTTGATTTTCAAAATAATAGCACATATAATAAAAAAGATTTCATGAATTCAGTTTATGTTGCCACATGCAAGCACAGCCTTGCATGTGACAGATTTGGCAGGGTTGGGAGAGAAGATCAGAGATAATGGGAGAAAGAAGGGTGAAGTGAAAGCTGAAACAAGCCTCTAGAAGAAAACATACGAGAGTATCTTCGTGACCTTTTGGTAGGAAAGATTTTTTTTTAATGACACAAAAAAGCATTAACTGCTAAAGGAAAATCGGATCAACAACTACTGAAGCCCGTGTGCCTAGAGCCCGTGCTCCGCAGCAAGAGAAGCCACCGCAGTGAGAAGCCCACGCACCGCAACAAAGAGTAGCCCCCACTTGCCACAACTAGAGAAAGCCCACGTGCAGCAATGAAGACCCAATGCAGCCAAAAATAAATAAATTTATTATAAAAAAAAAGGACCATAAAAGGTGAATAGGGGCCTTAAAAATGTGAATATTCAGATGACTGAATATTCACTAAACGGTGTTCAGCATCATTATTCCCTAGAGTAATGTAAAGTGAAACCACAGTGAGATACCATTCACTCACCAGCATGACTAAATCATAAATACTGCCTGTACCATTTAAAAAAACTTTGGCAGCAGTATCTAGCTGGGAACGTGTCTACTATATGATTACTTCTGGGTATATACCCAAGAGGAGTGAGGCTTATGTCACCAAAAGACATGTGCAAGAAACCTCATAACAGCTGTAATCATAATATCCTAAAAGTAAAAGATGACCCAAACGTCTATCAACAGGAAAATGGGTACATTGTGGTGTAGTTGTACAATGTAGTACTACGTAGCAAGTAACCGTATGCGACAGCAAATATGAATTTGACATTGTGTTGGGCAAAATAAGCAGACACAAAAGAGTATCTAACTGTATACTTCCATTTGTGTGATGTTCAAAAAGCACAGTTAATCTAGGGACACTGTCGATTTGCTTTATTTGGCCCAGTCATTTATCTTGTAGGTCCTTCATGGATCAATGAGTAAAGTATAAGGAAAAGCTTTAAATAAGAGCAAGGACCATATGGATGATGACACTAAAAGAAACCTAGGAAGTCATACTTGGCTTTTAGAACAAAACAGAAATGGAGAAAAAGAGGCAAAGGGGACATTTCATTGAGTCAGCAGAGTGTTTCTTAGGAAGGAAGCACTACATTCTTGGAAAAAGTTTAGATAGGACGTTAGTAAAATGGGAGCAGTCTTTCTTCAGATATTCCCAGTTCACTATCATTGAGGATTGTTGTAAGCACCATATTCTGTTTAAGGCCTTTGTTTATGATTTGTAAGTTTTCTTTGAGATTACCTACCCATGAATTAAAAATTGAAGGATTCTCTGTGTCTCACTTTTCTGTAGGAAGTCTTTAAAATTAAGTGAGTTTCTTTAAATTGAAACAATAAAGATTTTTTTTTCTTAAAGTTAAGGAATAAAGCAGTCAAAGAGGTGTCTGGGACTTAAAAATTTGCTGACAGATATTTTATTTGATAAAATACGGTTATTTATAATTAGAGTAGCATTAACAATGTGACGCTTATGAATAGCTTGCTGCTTGTAATTGTTAAATGCTTGTTTTGGTGTTACTCCAAATAGTTGTTCTTTTGACTTGAAGATAAAACAATTCTGGCATTGAACTAAAGGAGTTCTGTGCTTTTCCTCATTAAGAACAGTGCCAATGGCACGCAGAGCATGTCCCTAAGGGATACTTGTGTGAGCTCAAACATTGAGTGTCCTACTAATAATTGAACAACAACAAAAAGCTAGGTCTGTTTTCTACACATTTCTTATCAGATTGTCCCAAGGGATGGTTAAACAAATGACAGATAATTAGTTACTTGAAATAAGTCACTTAAAACTTTTTCTCGTGCCCTGTCATGTTTTTGGTTTGTTTTTTTTTTTCTCGTTGAAAAATTAACAGTTGGGGGAAATGTCCTCCATCTCAAAGAAAAAAATATTTCTTTTTTTGGTTTAGTTTATATCACTGTGATAATACTAAAAATTGTCATTTAATTGTGAGACATTCAGGTGCACAAAACTCAGTTCAGGCCCTAACTAATATTTTAATTCTCTCATCCGAGAATGTGAATGATGGGTTAAGTGAGTGTTTTAGACCAGTTACAGATATTTTTTTAAAGCCATTGTTCTTTATATATTAAATATTTATATTTATATAACCTTTGCAGTATCCCTAAATCATAAATATTATTTTTACCACTTCATAAGTGGGGAAATTGAGACTCACAGGAGTTAAGCAGCTTGTCCAAGGTCATAAGCTAGTAAGTGGTACCATTGCTTTCTTATTATATGGATTTAATTTATCTGTAGACTTCAGAACCTAACCCCGAGTAAAGGCTTTATCTTGCTTAAATTTCTCTTTGCTTAAATATGAAGGTTTTTCTTAAAAACCCAGCACACATAGCTCTTGTGTTGCTCTTTTTATTTTTCCATAGCACTTAACACGTTTTGACTTACTCTGTAATCGCTATATTTATTATGTTTCTTTCTTTATTATTTCTCTCTCCTCTACTAGAATGTGGACTCGACAAGTCTCTACAAAAGTTTTTTACTATTAACTGATGTATCCCAGACACTTAATAGCTGTTTGATAAATGTTGACAGAATGAAGAGCAGAAGTATTTTAAAAGGGCTTTTTTTGTGGTTCAATCAAATCTTTTATTTGATGATTTGCTTTTGTGAATTTTTGTTTGACTATTTTTTGTTCTTTCCAAAAGGAAGCATGTTAACAGGGACTGTTACTTAGACATAAGTGCAGAAATAGGATCAATGTTAATATTTAGGGGCGTTCTAAAGCTCATTATATCAGTACAGAGAAATTTGATATCATTTCAGCATAGTAGCAAAATTGAGAAGGCTCACTGAAAAAATGAACTAGGACATGAAGATCTGTAAGCCTTTGGAATTTAGTGAGGGGATAGATATAGCTAAACACTGAATTTTTCTGTTTGTAAGTGAGATTAAGTCGTCAGCAGAGATGTTAGTTCAGGTAGAGCTAAGTACTGGAACAAATGAATAAACCTGTGACATTTTGGTGGCTTAACAAAATAGAAATCGTTTCTTTCTCATTTAAAGTCCCGGCTTTGTGATGGTGTCTTGAGTGTGCTCTTCGCACTTAGTCATTCAGAGCCCCAGGATCTTGGGGCTCTGCTACTATCAGTACGTGGTTTCCAAGATCAGTCAGGACATCAGCATACGACTGGCAGGTTGTGGAAGAGAGGAGTGCAGGGTCATGCCTGAGGTTTTTATGGGCCAGCCCTCCAAGTGGCATCGACCACTTCTGTCCACATTTTACTGGCCAGTCCACACCTGATTTCAAGGGAGAATGGGGAATATGGTCTCTGTGCCAAAGACAATGAAATATGTTTGATGAATAGTTAATTTTTCTCTGCCCACTACAGTAGTTTGGTGTCCATTTGGTTTAGTGGGAAATCCAGGCATATGCATGTTGATGGATGTAAATTTTTTTCTGAATGTATTTTTTTTTTTTGTGGTACGCGGGCCTCTTACTGTTGTGGCCTCTCCCGCTGCGGAGCACAGGCTCTGGACGCGCAGGCTCAGTGGCCATGGCTCACGGGTCCAGCCACTGCACGGCATGTGGGATCTTCCTGGACCGGGGCACGAACCCGTGTCCCTTGCATCGGCAGGCGGACTCTCAACCACTGCGCCACCAGGGAAGCCCCTAAAAAAGTTTTAAATACTATCAAACAAAAATTAATGCCCATCATTCTTATTTTAATAATTCCCA